TCAAACACAGTTTTAAACCCATTTCTATCAAGTTCTGACACAGACAAAATACACCCCTTCATTCCCTTTAGCACATAGGCATCAATTTCTGTTTGCAAACACTTCAAAAACACTGTGCCTACGGTCTCTAAGGAACGTTTAGTTGAATCTGCCATTGTCACAACTTTAAGGGTTTGCAAATGTCTGCAATTCTGCAAACGGACACTAGATGGCGCCACCAGGTGGTGAGATGCACCACTGTCGATCAACCAGCGTAGTTTGCTGCCTTGGCCACGTCCTTGCATCAACGCCATTGCTGAAGCCATGTGCTGTGTGCTGTGGGAGTAGCCACGACCTCCTCCTCTTCTTCGACGTCCCCTGGAACTCCTTGTCTGGTAACTAGGGGTAACGGCCTTGGTGCTGTCTTGACCAGGTTCACGTGTACAATTCCTGATTAAATGGGAAGAGGAACCACAGCGAAAACTGTGTCTAGCTGCAAAAGCATTTACTGTGTTCTCAAACTCAGCATCCCCACTCTTAGGCACAGCATAACTCCCCTTTGAAGACAAACCTCTTTCTCTTTGCCTTTTATCCTGTTCATCTGCAAGTCGAGAAGAAATGTATTCAAGGGTTAATTCAGTTGAAGGCATAGCTCCAAAGTTAAAGCTAGAGTCTCATAGCTTTTATCAAGAGAAGACAACAAAATGTATGACTGCTGCTCCATAGAGAAAGGAATCCCCAGCTGTCTTAGTTGATTAAAGGCAGACACCATTTTGGCAATATGTTCTTTCACACACGCTCCCGGTTGGAGACGTAAATCAAACAAACATCTTGTAGCATGGATCTTGGCCCCCGCAGTGTTTCTGGAATTTAGCCGCTGCAGAACCGTCCAGACCTCATGCGTGTTCTTTAACTCAGAAACATAAGGCATTTGCTCTGGTCCCACTGCCAAAACTAGTAGACCTTGGGCTTTCCTGTCACGTTTCTGTGAAGCTGCCGCTGCTGCTTTGTCTTCTGCAGACGCGTCTGCAGCTGCCTGTAAGGGCGGTGCTTCAGTACAACTCCACAACTCTTTTGCTTGCAACCAAACCCTTACTCTAGCCTTCCAATCTTGCCAATTTTTCCCATTGAGTCGCGTAAATGGGACAGTAAAACTTTCCTGGGACTCTGCCATCCTCCCTGGGGCTTAGGAACGATACTCACACACCTGTAGACCGTCTCCCAGCTGCTGAGGTGGCTCCTTGAGGAATAAGACGTCTTTCCAGCGAGTACAAACTGCGCAGTGCCTGTTTAAAACTTTTTCTAGGCACGTTGCAGGACTCAAGCTGCTTTGAAGGCTTTTGTTGTCGGCAACCGCTTCTGTCTTCGCTCCAGTCCTTTCATAAATCACCCTGAACTGCACTCCTTATCTCCTTCTTGACGTACAAACAACCATAACCTGTCCCATTAAACTTTAATTAGTTTAATGCTAAGCATATGTCCAGTGCGCTTCTAATGCCACAATGTCCCATTACAGCAGAGCTTTTCGCACAGCGGCTCAAGAAGGGCTCGAGAGTCAGCATCTTTTCAATAAAGGAATCTTGGAGCAAGCGGTTTGGAACTCAAATAAAAGGTTTATTTACACAAAACAAAAAACCCTGGTGAAGAACCACACATTTCAGCAAAACACGCCCCAAAAGAAAGGAGGAAGGGGCAAACACACAAGTGAGTTGACTATTATATACAAACTCACATTCTGGGAGCCTAATGATCTCCAGCTGCTCAGTGAATTAGAGCGTCTTGACTAGAGCTTCTTAACACCCTTTAATACCAACACCTGGCTGCTGACATGCTTTTATTTATCAGCCTAAAGGTTGAACTTATTTAAAAGATGATGGCTGCCACTTCTGTTCTAGTTCTGCTCCTGCACCTTTAACAGCAGCCTGATACACCCAACATCGTCAATGACCACTGTGTCACACTCAGTATCTTGTTTCTAACAGTGGCTAACCAGTTATCTCGGGTTATGAAGAAATCAAACAGATAAAGCATTTCCTGGTATGGAGATAATATGAAAAGCTTCACCTACTAATAATATGTGAATCATCCAGTTTTAAAAAGGTGAGAATAAAATTAAAACAGAAAATGAAGATAGCAAATCCAGGGGGCAGGAAGAACTGCAAGTTTTCTGAAACAAGACAGATAAAGATAAAACTACATGAAAGGGTTGTTTTCTAGCTATATTTAGCATCAGATATAGTACCATCAGTGTGCGCTGAGTAGAAGAGAGGTCTCTATCCTTGAACTGTGTTAAAATTGCCCTGACATTCTTGCTGATGGAAGTTCTATAAATGGGGAGTCAGGCGAACACCAGCTATTTCAGGCAACACTTACGTTTCTAAAGCGAACAAGTCTCCTTTTGAAGCCATTTCCTGCAACCAGGTCTGCTTCAGAAATATAAAGGACACAGGATCTGTTTGAAAGATGGAAGTCTACGACTCCCAGGCCATCTTCTAGAATTAGTTTAACTTTCCCTTGAAATAAGAGACACAAGATTTTAGTAACAAGATAACTATAACAGAGCATCAAATATGAATTCGGGTGAAACCTTGTCTACCTATCCAATATTAATATTTATTTATAAAAAGTTCCATTAATTTCAATAAAATTTACTCCCACTTATATTTAGGGCTACAGCCTCTCATGGCAAGTGCACCTTACAAAAGATCAAAACTGACTTTAAAAATCTGGCTTAAAGTATTCTAGTCTAACTCCCTATCCAGATCTTGTATTTTAATTACATTTTCACAAATGTTCTGTTTTCTATTGACACGGTTACCTTGTATCCCCTGAGCAACCAGAGAGCCTTTCCATTTTTCATGGCCAATCACATGCCCATAAGGGACACTAACGGCTCCTAGTCGGACAGGAGTGCCTTCATTTGCCATCACTGACCTCCTTCGTTTTGTAAACACCTGTCATAAAACACACAGGAAAAATAAGGCAACAAGGTATTATTCATGAGATGCAGAAGCATTGCATATGGGCACTGGGCTGTTGGGTTAATAAACAAATCATCTGTCAGAGGTTTTTATTTCTTTCTGGTATATACTCCATCTGTAAAGCCCTGCATAGCACAATTTTGGACACAAAAATTAGGAATGTGTAAACCAGGGGTCACCAACCCAAGTGCCTACAATGGCATTTATTGGCACCACCAAGCAGAGGTTCCAGATGTTGTTTTCTTTTTTTAAAATCTAGCCCCCTCCCCACAGAAAGTTACAAAGCAAAACATGCAGGTACCCTTCTAATTGATTTTTGTGAGAGTAGGAAACCTAACTGTTCCTGCCTGCTTATGAGAGAAGTCTGAGCTGCAATTGGTAGGTGTGTTATTTCTCAAGAGCTGCTGCTTTTCACCTCCCTTCAACACACTTTCTTATTTTCTAGCCAGAAATTCGTCAGGTCGAGCAGTTTTTAAAATATGGAAATGCAGTACAGCTATATGAAAAGCTTCACCATGATTGCACTTTCTCCAATTTTATGGTGCCATGCCTCCCCCCTACATAGTGGCTGTGTTTTAGGCCACATACATCATGGCAGCTGTCCTGTGACTATTCTCCTCTCCCACACCCTCTGTACATGCTGCCATCTTTCAAAATGTGCACCCGGGTTGTCCAGTAAAGTTTGGCAGCGGTGCCGAATTTATGTATAAGCTAATCAATGGGGGTCCCAAAAAAATCTAAAGGAAAAAAAGGTACATTTCCAAAATATAAGATATAAAACAAATAAAATAAAACCTACATACAGCAACAGTGTTTTGTGTTGTGTAGGCTCCTATGATGTAAATAATGGGCCCGGCTGCTAGCTTTTTGTTATGTGCAAATGGCTTTAGATACCTATTAGGTCCATAAATTACCCTATAGTATATATTCAACAGGGACGCGGGTGGCGCTGTGGGTTAAACCACAGAGCCTAGGACTTGCTGATCAGAAGGTCAGCGGTTTGAATCCCCTTGACGGGGTGAGCTCCCGATGCTCGGTCCCTGCTCCTGCCAACCTAGCAGTTCAAAAAAGCACATCAAAGTGCAAGTAGATAAATAGGTACCGCTCCGGTGGGAAGGTAAACGGTGTTTCCGTGCGCTGCTCTGGTTCGCCAGAAGCGGCTTGGTCATGCTGGCCACATGACCCGGAAGCTGTACGCCGGCTCCCTCGGCCAATAAAGCGAGATGAGCGCCGCAACCCCAGAGTCGGTCACGACTAGACCTAATGGTCAGGGATCCCTTTACCTTTACCTATATATTCAACACAAAAAAACAGCGACATTACCTTCAGTAGCTTAGGGCCTCATCAAACCTAAATCCAACCCTGGTTGGGAGACCCTTGCTTTAAGGCAGGAGAGAGATCACGCCACACGCAGGGCTGAAAATACAGGCGCCCACCCAGCAACAGCCACAGTGGTACCTCGGGTTAAGAACTTAATTCGTTCCGGAGGTCCATTCTTAACCTGAAACTGTTCTTAATCTGAAGACCACTTTAGCTAATGGGGCCTCCTGCTGCCGCCGCGCCGCCGGAGCACGATTTCTGTTCTCATCCTGAAGCAAAGTTCTTAACCCGAGGTACTATTTTTGGGTTAGCGGAGTCTGTAACCTGAAGCGTATGTAACCTGAGGTACCACTGTATCCTGCAATAAAAGAGGGTGGGTGGAGGTTAAAGAACCCCCCCCCTTCCCGACAAAACCCACCCAATCCTCGCCAGCTCCGCTTCCAGAGAGAGAGATAGAGAGAAAGAGAGACAGACGCGCCCCAACTTTGAGCAGCGCGCGCGCTCTGCGCATGACGGACACCGGGCCAACCAGCCAATCGCAACTCAAAGCTCCCCCCCCGTCAAAACACAAAACGAAAAGATGCGCGCGAGCGAGCGAGCGACGAGAGAAGGAGTGGGCGGGGCTTCTCCTTCAACGGCTGCCCGGTTGCTAAGGGAAGGCGGAAGTAGTAAAGCGAGCGGCGATTGGTGGAAGCGGGAGGCCTTGGCCAATCGCCGCGCGGCTTGTTCCGGCGTGGTTGCGAGAGGGGAAGCGTCTCTGCTGCCCGGGCGGAATCGCTTCTTTCTCCCCGCTTCCAGGCGGCGGCGGCAGCGGCGGCGAAGACTCTCCCTCGCCGTCCTTTTCTGCGTACGCTGCTCAACCCTCTTCCGCATACATGGCGCTTCGCTTCAGGAGCGGCCGGAGGGGCCAATTCGTGAGTATCAGGGCCGGGGTCTGGTGCTGGTTCGGTGAAGGGTAGTCCCCCCCCGCGCCTCCCCCCCCGTGTCTGGTCAGGGGCGCCGGTTGCCATGGCGACCGAGAAGCTCTTCCTCTGCCACTCTCGTCCCACTGGAAAACTTGTCCGAAGGGGAGAGATGAGGAAAGCCTTGCATACTTAGCAATGTCCCTGTTCTGTGTCTTCAGGACACGCCAGTAACCTAAGAATAAGTCTAGAAACAAGACATTTTGCTCTAGAAAGGGAAGTTCTCATGCGAATAGTGTAATTTTTTTAAGGCATGAAGTTTCTATACGTAGAGTCATGCACCTCGTCCGCCTTTGCCTACTGTGACTTGTGGTGGTGCTTCAGGGACTAGGGCAAAGTTATTTCCCAGTCTTTGCTGCTTCAGGATCTGCTTTAACTGGAGAGGCCCCGGGGGACTTCCTGTATGCAGAGCGATACTGCAAGTTGGATGGCTCCTTTCCCACACTGGGTGGACATCCGTATTAAGCTATTACTGTTGTTGCAGCATTTCCAGGACAGTCATCCTGTTTAATCTTCTTCATCCAAGATCAAAATACAACTGAACATTTTGGGTGTTAACTTTACCATGCCTGAAGAGCCATGCATTTAATATAAATATGCTTCCTATGAACAGTGACCAGAAAAAAATAATGTTTTTATTTAAAAAATGTTGTTACAAGATCATAATATTTATTCATTCCTAGGGTTTAGGCCAGGGGGATTCCCCCAGATCTATAACAATAAGCAATCCAACATAAGAAACTAGCAACACAGGTTTCAAAGTACACACCACTGATAATTGCTTTGTGGCAATAATTGCAACTTTTTGAATATTTGACCAGTATTGCATCTGTTGCCAGGAATTGTGGGTTTATTTCTGTTGCATGTTAGCTGCAGGAAGCAGAATGGGCAAGACCAGTATGGTAATTGTCCTGCTGTGTCACCACTGTAGTCCATGTTCTGATATCTTCCAGACTGCCTTAATACAATGTGCTCTACATGGGGCTGCCCTTGAAAACAACTCAGAAACTTAAACTGTTCCAAAATGGAGTGGCCAAATTACTGGATGGAGTCCTGTTTAGAACTCGTATAACTTCTGTTTTAAAACAGCTGCACTGGTTGCTAGCTTGTTTCCAGCCCAGTTTAAGGTTCTCATGCGAGTGTTTAAAAGCCCTAAACAACATAGCCCCCAAATATCTAAAAGACCACTAAGGTGCAGACCCTCTCAGGTGTTAAGAGGGGCTGATCTTGGTAGTTCCATCACACTCAGAGGTTCAAGGTTGTGTGTAACTGAGGAGAGCACATTATCAGTGGCAGCTCATAAGCTGTCAAATTTTCTCCCCACAGAGGTATGTCTGGCACGTTCATGGCACAACTTTCATGGTATACTAAAGACACAACACTTTACCCAGATATTTGACTTTTGAGATATAGCATTCTAAGACACAACCTAGTAGTGACTGCAATTTGTTTTAAGTTGCTTTTAATACTGTATTTTATATTGCTTCTGGTGAAGGGTGGGTAATAAATATAATACAGTAGCAATAACTATGGTTTATCTTAACATGCAAGTGAGCCCTATTCTTGTGCATACTTACTCAGAAGTATTTGATGGATGTGTAAGGCTGTACAATATTGCAGTTTTATGGGAGTGGGGCAGGGAACAGAATATGCTTCTGTAAATGGCCTTTAAAATAGAAATGTGTATAGCTCACTACCCTGATAGTTAGAAGTGACTGCCTACTTTCAATAAATGAAAGCTTTGGTTGTATCCTGAAAAAAAGCCAGTTAAAGCCAACAGCTGTACTCAGCAATATGGCTTTCAAGTGGTTAAATATTTCATATGAAACATGTCAAGTCTCTGTCTCTAAGGATCTAAGAACTCTCAAGCCAGTTTTGCTCACCCAGAAGATTTCAGGCTTGTTTTCCTTTCACAGCAGTTTCCCAAGAGGAGTTTCAAACCAGTTTGTAATATAGCATAGTAGTATTCTCTTTTAAAATGAAGTAAAATTATATATATAACTAAGTGCACTGAGTCCTCTTTGGATTCTATTCACATACTTAAAAGTATGAAATTAATGAGACCTAATAATACAATTCTTTGCATATTTACTTAGCAGTTAAGTACCACTGTTTTCAAAGGAACTTTCTTCTAAGTAAATACAGACAGGACTGCAACATTTGTTCCAAATACATGTGTTTTGCACTTTCATTGTTCAGTTGCCATGCTGCAATATTGAGTGCTCCTGTTCTTTAGTGCTATGGCCCTGGATCCAATACGTACATTAATTTGCATGTAATTTCTCTCCCCTTTTGTGTTGTTTCGAGTCATTGTGCATACTTAGTTTTGTGTTTCTCCATTGTGTTTGGTCAGTCATTGCCAACTAACTTTATTTTAAATTGTCTAGAAACATATAGCTCATGGCCTGATCCCTGCAGCTACCATAGCACCTAAAGCTGCCGTCCCCCGCACCCCTCCCCCTCGTAGTCCAAACCCTTCTCCAGAAAGGCCCAGGTAGGTCTTAATGTTTTTCATCTCTTGATTACCATTCATTGCATAGAATATATATAGATATATATTTAAAATGCATGCCTCTCTCTTGCTTGCAGCTGTAACATAAACCTAATACATTCCAATAATATGTAGGGTTGCAGCTTTGAAGTCATTAACCATTTGAACATGTTAATTATAAATTAATTTTAAATTGGTAATGAGGATGGCTAAAAAAAAACTGATGAGTGACAAAAAAGCAATGATCAGAACAGTCCAATTAGCAGCACAAATATATGGCTTTTTTTTTTTTAACTCTCCGTCCTTTGCAAGAACTAGTTGATGTATACATTACACTGGTGTGCTTGTATTGATCACAGTGGAAATGGTTGAAGATGATTCCCTAATACTATAATAAAGACTGCAGCTTTGTTTTCTATTACGTTAGAAGGGGTCAAACAACATTCCTCACACATTCAAAGAATGTGTGAGGGGACTGTGCAGATTACAGTTGGATTAAGTGATTAAAAATAATTGACTAAAAGTGCTGCTGATCAATCAGGCCATCAATGGAGATATATATTCTCTCTCACACATGAGAAATACATGTGTGCATTTGCTAAAAACATAGAAAGTTTGCTTCTTGCTTCAGAAATATTGTTTTACATGCAAATTTAATTGATAAATTGTGGGACTAAGTTAAAATTTCTTAATCACGTTGCAGCCCTATATAAAATTAAATTTAACATCAGTGTTTTCAAGAGATCACTTACAAAGATTATTATTGTTTATCTGACAAATAAGAGTAATGAAATGCTTTTGTTTTTAAATTATTTTAACCCAGAAAAATGTACTAATGTAAAATACAATCCTTTAAAAACATTATTAACCTTTTGTTTTGACTTTTAAAAGAATCACTGTTTCTTCATTTTGCTTTCTGATTATTTTTTAATCTCACCTTTCTTCCTCCCTTTTTTACCTTTTCAAAATCACGCTCACAAACAGCAGCATCTTCTAGCAAATTTATACAATCAGGGCTGAAAGTAAGTCCTGTTGAGTTCAGTAAGACTTATTTCTGAGTAGGCATGTAGGAGAATCAAGTGGTGGTGGAGCTTTTCTTGGACTGTAATCCTTCAGACACAGGTTTCATGCTTGAATGTTCTTCAACATAAAAAAGCAATCCTTTCCTTCACAAAGAAAATTGTGAGCCAGTATTCAGATACACAGCATCCTGCCTGCTGGGTGAAGTGGTACAGTCCAGAAAAGGCTTCAGAGGTTCATTTTGTTCACATTTTGTTCTTCAAGGTAAGGAAAGAAAGAAGAAGGGTGAGGAGATGGCCTGATCCTGTGATTTAGTGCCCCACAGATGCATGAGCATAGTTTGCTGAAAAAATAGCCAGTATGTGCAAGGCTCCTTTCTTCCCATAGTTGATAAGAGGGAGGCACGTGATATTACCTTGAAGACTTAATTCGGTCCACATCTGATTGCAAAATAGGGCTTTACATTTTAAGCTCCTAATGATTCAAGGTATGTTACCAAAAATGGAAAGGAAAGGTGGCAGTTTGCCCACTCCACTATATTTATTTTGCAGCTTCTGTTGCTTATACACAATAACATTTAGGTTATTCCTGTCAGAAATGAGATAAAATGTTCTAAGCCATTGTAAACGCTTAAATATGTATTTATTTTTATTTTCCAGATCCGCTCTGGCCGCAGCTATTCTTGTGACAACCCTAACTGGACGGACCATTGCCATCCCTCAGCCACGTCAACGATCTCTTTCTGAGAGTGATGCCAGTTACTTGCAAGATCAAGAAAATTATATTGAGCCATATGCCACAGTCACTGAGCTGCGAATGCGGTAGGATATAATGCATGTATTGATGAGAACTGTTGGAAAAGTTGTAATAGAACTTTTATTTCCTCTGGTTAAAGAGTCCAAGATTTTATAGCCCACTTCAGACATAATAAGAAACATGAATGTTCCTGTGTGAGTGTTGGATTCTCACCCTCTCCTCTATCTCTCTTGCTTTCCAAAGAAGAAAATAGAAAGCATCTGTTTTCCATTTGTGATTTGTTTAAGCTATGGTTTGAGAACAAGCTAGGATCTGAAACCATAGTTTAAACAAATGAGTTTGTTTACAGTTGGGACATCTTATGGAATTGTGGGTAATTTAAAATCCAGATCAGATGCTTTTGATCTTCAGGACATGAGAAGAAGGGTATGGAAATCACACATACCCAAGACTCATGAAATCATAGAATTGTGGAGTAGGAAGGGACCCCGAGGGTTTGGAGACTTGAGAGGGTATGTGACTCATATCCCTTAATGCATTTTCTGCCTGCAGTCACAACTGGAAGAGCAATGGTGATGACAGGAGCATTGGGCAGTCTTTGGAAGTATCAGGCAGTTGTTGTGAGGATGAGGACATGGATACATACCCTTCAGACACAGAAAAGGAACCAGATCCAAACTATCAGGTTATTGATAAAAAATAAACATTAGCAGCGATGCTGGCTATGCTATTCCACACAAAATTAAACAGGTAAGCACTGGAGTGTCTGCTTCTGCCAGCTTTCTGAATACAGTTGTAAAAATAATAAATTCTTTTAATCACATTTGCAAATGTTA